AGTATACAATATATATATATATATATATATATATATATATATAGTTTCATTTAATTCTGCATTTAGACATGTCTGCCACAGCACTAGAAGCCTACAAGCGATTTGAACAAAGCTGTGCAGGATCCTCTTCGCTCAAAAATTCACCTAAAAGTCCACAACTCCTTCCTCCCCCGCCTCCACCTCCAAAACCATCGAAAAAAGCCCACCTTATCGGAGCAGAAATGGTACACCTTCTAGTTCCACCTCCGCCTCCGCCCCCACCTCCTCCCCCACAGCCTCCAGTCAAGGACATTCCTCCACCTCCTCCTCCACGGCGTCCAAAAGTTACTTCCGCAGAGCAACTTCCGCCTCCACCTCCTCCGCCGAAGCGACTGAAACCAGCTCACTTGATTGCGGCCAACAAGGTAAAATTTGATAATCCTGTTTTCTTATTCTATTTGTCAATTTTAAAGATGTTTTAGCAGCCACAGGCCCAGCAAAGCATTGCCATGGTCGCTGAATTGAAGAGGTGTTTCATTTATATTTTTTGTAAGAAAATATAGACTCTGTTTTGCATCGCTTAGTTATTTTCAGAGAAGCATCAAGTCCGATTGACACCAACAAATTGGAGGAGCTCGCTAGTAATTAGATCGTTCTTCCCTTAGTCGCATTAGTTTGAAAAATTTCCTTTTGCAGTACTTACGGATGTGAAAGCTTGTGTGGAGTACGTAGTATTTCTGGTTTCCTCGATAAAGCCTTTCGATGAAATTAGTGGAGAACTTTTACCTGCTGCGGAGGTAATTCTATACGATTGCTGTACTTCTTATAAACGTAATAGTTTAGGTGCCAATACCATTCTCACAACATACCAATGTCCAATGCGCCACTACTGAAACGCGAGATCATACATACAGCAATATACAGGACAAAGATACTTGTACGCTCACCGAGAGAAATGGTTGTGAACTTGAAGTGCATCAAGATGAAGGAAATCAAGAGGATAATGAGGTTCATCAATATATTCAGTAGTTCGTCTCTGAAAGCTATGTGCATACCTTACTTAAGGAATACGATCCACTGGAATGCTCTGCTGTTGAAGATTTTGAGAATTACGTACCCTCTACCGTGGTTTCGAGGAATGTGACTCTCGATGTTAGTTTTATCCTATATATGCGCTCCGTACAGTCTTTCTCTGCATAGCAAATTTGTCGATTTTGATTTAGGAATTAGTATCTTCGCAAACACCAGAAGTGGAGATGCACGACTCACAGGTAGAAGATCGCTATTCACCTGCATGCGACCAAGTTGTATCTCCTGTGGATGAAGATGAAGAAGAGGAAGAAGTCGTTGAAGACGGAGAGAGTGATATCCAATCTCTCAGTGATGACTCTGAAGAAGAATCCGAAGGTGAAAATGAGGAACCATCTAGCCAAACATTTTTGCGACAGGATGGATTGGGCGGGATTGTAAAAGTGATACGACGCAGAAGGAAGAAGGCTATATTGAATGCGGTTACTCCTTGTAATGCTACTATTGCTAGTCAACAACTTCAATCCGTTCCACTGGTTGGAGAAGAGGACGCGGACAAGAAGCCGTGAGTAGCGTTGTATCTTGTTTATTCTTCTCTTTCTTACTTCAAAGTGTCAGTAAGCTCTCTTTTTTCCGCTCTACAGTTCTTATCGTAACTCAATCATTTGCATTAGCAATAGAAAGTTTTGCAAAGGTCCTGTTCGCTATTCTATGCTTTGCTTAGAATTGACCAGTTTTCTGCTAGCATTCGATTATCTCGTTTTCACTTTAGTGTTAACTCTCCTTACTAGATTATTTTACTTTAGATTACCAACCAGATCATATTTTTATGATTCTGAAAGCATAGGAATAAGCGAAGGTTGTTGAAGCAGTGAATATCCCTAACTTCACTTGCGAGATTTTTCTCAGAGCAGTGCATACTTTACAGCGATCCAACATTGTTAGAAAATCCACGTCATCTTCTCCAACGCGCATCAGCGGTTTTGCAGGGCCTGGGAAAGAAACAAGGTAAAAGAATAGGTTGATTGTTAGTCGTCATTTTGTGTATTTCTATCTATGATGTTCCAGACTCCCAGTACTCACAGATGCCATATGATGAGGAGTACGAAGAAGAGGAATGTGTTCAACCAATGGATAGCTTTCACGGAGAACCTGTTCCCGACGATGATGATCTTTTTGAGGTAAGCAAGCTTTTTCCTTTTTTTGGTATTCAACTTGAATTGCTGTGTAGGTGGCTGCTGGAATTAAGCCCAAACGAAAAGAAGAAGTCATTGTTGAGGAGAAAGTCCCAACTTCTACCGAAGAGTTTGACATAGATTTCTGTAAGTGTTCTTTTTTAAACATTTTTCTTATTTGGAGGCTGCAAACGTAATTCTAGTTATAAAAGTAGCAAGACTTTATGGCATTTTCTTACCCGTTGTCTGTTTTTCTTCACAAAAAAAAGTGCTAATTCCAGACAATGGTGATCTGCATTTGAAAGGAGCTCCTGATAATGATTGGATAATCGATCCAGATAACCAAGATGGCTTGGCTCTAGTTTGGGGTGGTGTGAGAAGTACACATGGTATTTTTCGCCATTGTCGTCTGTAAGTTCTAGTATGTAATTATACAAAAGTCTACTACTTTCGCCTTTTACCCTCTCTAAGCATAAAGCTCAACAGTAGGGAGCGCCATCTATTTGATGCATGTTGTGTATGTACAACTCCAAGCAAACTTTGAACATATGTGTATTGTTGATGTGGACGTATTGTTGCGTCACACCAGTGCATCGCGTTAGTTCTATTGAATGAGGAAACGTTGTGGGAGGAAAAGTACATCAGGGAGGTGCTGTATACCTCCTTTACAGAGCAAGCGAGTCGGCCAATAGCGGTGATTCTGACGAAAATTCCATAAAGTGCATAGTATTTCAAGTTAAGGTGAGCAAACATTTATTCATGAATGCAGCTTGTATGGTCTGCAAACTTTGCAGATATTGGATTTCCTTCCGACAAAACATCTACCTTTCGAGGAGATGGATCCTAACGATATACGTGTTGGTTTCTCGCTTCGATCGGCACCACTTGTCGTACGTTTCATTACGCGTAACCATTTTGGTGCTATAAACGGGACGGAAACGTTCCAGCTGGGGGAGTATCCGGGTTCATACTGCTTCACGTCACTGGGAAAGAAGGCGAATAACAATCTATTCACGGATTATGGAGAACCCTTCTCTGTTGGGGATATCATCACTGCTCAGATGGTAAAATCTCTGCATCTGTGCTCCTGTCGTTTCAATTTTCTTTTGTTTTTAGGATTTTGGAAAAAGATCCGTCTGTTTTTGGAAGAACAATGAATGTTTGGGGGAAGCATTCTCGAACATTGTCATCCCTGATGATGAAGCTATCTACCCCCACATCTGCGTGAAAAACTGTCGTGTCTTTGTGAATTTTGGAACCTTCCCGGGGGGCGAAGACGAATGGATCAGGTATTTCGAAAAGTGTAACTCACGATTTCTTTTCGAATTAGTGTTTTGTGAAGGCGCCCAGATTGGGTGTTTCCTAATGCTGTGCCAAGCTCGCAAACCGAACGTGCTCCTGTCCCTCCCGAAAGCAAATCTGACTGCACGGTATTGATGATGGTTAGTTTTCTGGTACTTGTAGCTCTAGAATTCTCACTCTTTTTGCATTAATTTTGTTTGCACGTAGTACACCTTGTACGTGATGTGCGGTGTTGTAACGATTGCGTCGGAACTTGTGGTCATAGAATCTATTTCATCTCAACTGTTTCTAATTATTCCATAATTAAATAAATTGAGTTTGATCTTGTTGGTAACGTTGAGTCTAAGTATGTGTTTTAGGTTGGTCTGCCTAGCGTTGGAAAGACCACGTGGGTACGTCGTTACATACGTGAACATCCCAGCGAGCATTGGACATTGATTAGCTCAGATACCATCCTAGCTTCTATGAAGGTGCGGTATCTCTCAATCATTGCTCTTGTAGTAACCATAATGAATGATTATGTTTTTCGGGTCCATTGCATGAAATTGCAACTTTTTCTGTCGGTCACAAGTTTTCGTTGTCTTTTTTTTGTCATTGCAAATATCATGACGCCATAACCTTAAAAACTTTATCTCAACCTTGCTCTAATCCAAGTGCAGGATTGAAATCAATAATGGATTTTTTAAAGAATTCTAGAACAATGTTTCAGGTGAATGGTATATCGAGAAATAGCAGTCATATAGGAAGATGGGATATGGTGTTAGGCTTAGTAGGAAAAGCAAGAAACAGGTCTACCGTTTATGATCTGTTTTCGTGCAGCTTTGAGGAATATTATTTAGGCTTCTGTCATTAGCTGCTAGAAGGCGTCGAAACTATATTCTTGACTTTACTAATTGTGATCCGGACACTCGAAAAAAACGACTTGCGCTTTTCGAGGGCTTCTTCCGACAGGTAGGGTAATCCGTCAATGTTAATCATCACCTTAAATGGCTTGCGTCTCAGTGTGTAACGATCGTCCCGTCCGATGAAGTCATGCAGCAGCGACATGCCCGACATCTAAGACAGAACAGGGGTGAGGGGACAGCTGCAGTTCCGATCGAAACATTCTTAGAGTTGAAAGGTATACTTTACTCTAACATAATTTTTCGAAAAAAA